TTCCACAAAGAATTTAAGATCTGAGTTATTCAGAGAGTTTCTCTCAAAAGAAAACTGTTTTAAGAAAATATTTAAAACTAAATTATTTCCACATCATTGTCTTTTGCCCACCATTGATTTGAAGTAAAAGAACAGATTAATATGTAATGTGGCTGAATTTATTCCATCAGTTGCACTTGAGGCAAACACATCATCTTTCACGATGAATATGGAAGCCTAAAATACTGAGATGAGGAGGGTAGCTCTCACCAGGCTTTCCTGAGACTGTCTGGAGTCTGTTGGTTTGTCTTCATGGCATGTTTAATAGCACAGACTTTTCTGGATTCCTTCACTTAGATTCATAAGACCTCCTGTCAGGTGAGCACAGTTGTTAGGACTGTCTGGAAGTTGGCCTTCTCGACTGACTTGTTCAGCTCCATGGTGAAGGTCCCCAGCTCTGCACTCAGGCTGAGGTTTCTGCATATCTCCTGCTCCTGGAACTGCTACCTCCCACTCTGAGTCCCTGGAGGTCCATGACCAACAAACAGAATAAGCAAAAATATCTCATATTCACAGAAATGGAGAGCTTTCTCTGAGTAGTTTTGCAGCCTTTGTTTTTAGAGCTGTTTTAGGTTCCCTGCAAAATTGGGAAGGTACAGAAATCTCCAAGTCCTCCTTCCCCACATCCACAGCCTCTCCCATGCTCAGCCCACCAGAATGGCTGCAGTAGGCAGGCCACAACAAAGAAGTCTAGCCTGCCTTTGGGTTCCTTCTCACTGATGTTCTTGTGTGTCACTGGGTTTGGGTAATAAGCGAGGACACGTATCCACCAGTATACTATGACAGAGGTGTGTCATTGCCGTAAGCCCAGAGAGATGAACCATCTTTAAGTCACTGGAACACTGGCAACAAAGCGCCACACATGCGTGGTACTGTCTAGCTGTTGCATGTCAGGAAGGATACTCAGGATCGGAGTGAGCCATTTACCTGAGACCCCACCTATGTCAGGCACCAGCATTCCATATTGCTGTTCAAGTTCAATGCTACCATAGTGTTACCGTGGCTCTGCCCACATTCTCTGGTGCATCTAAGCATGAGGAGGGTTACAGCACCTCTGAAGAAGCCCCGGGTCACGTCTGAGGGCAGCACAGTGTCCTGGCCAGGGATTTCCTCTCTTCCCACATAGCCAGCTCTCCACCCAGAGAAATGAATGTCATTCTGTCGCTGCCCTTGGCGACAAGGTGGTCCCTTAGGAGGTAAAGCGGAGCCATTTCTAAATCTCTTTAGCTCGGTGGTTAAGGCTCCAGGTTTGGTCCCGGCACTAGAGGAAATGACACAAAACAAGAGAACTGATTGTCCTCTTAGCCATTCTAGCCATAGTGGTGCACTCTGGGTCAGTGAGACGCCCTGCTCCAAAGAGGAAGGTTGAAAGCAACAGAGGGCACCAAAAGTCGACATCTGGCACAGGTGCATACACAGTTACAACTAACATGGATGAAGTGATCACTGCCTAGCAAAGTTAGTTCTCACACTTCCATAACCCACTTAAACCTCACCGAAGCTCTGTAAGTTCCATCCTCTCCTGGTGCAGGTGAGTGCTGGGGCACAGAGAAGCTAAACAGCTAGCTAGTGTTTCACCGTCCCTGGGACGAGTTCTGTCTCAGCCAGTTCTGACAGGGTCCTCCCAAGCGCCTAGATCCTAGGAGTCTAAAGAAACAAAGCCACGGGACCCCTTTACAGTTTTCAAATTAAAACCCTTAAAAAAGTATCAAATTGGCTATTATCATAGGAATATCATATTTTCAGATAACCGAAATTGAGAGGCAGGACTTGATTCATTTTCTGACTTCTCTGCTGACTTGGGTGTGGACTGGAACGCATTTGTTTAGTGACTTTCTTTTTTGAAAATAGTAGTACGTGAAATCAGGCGTGAACAAATACAACTTAGCAAGTCTTCCTCGTAGCTTACATCATACTATCCGTGCAGTATTTCGGTCCTTACCTCTTTGTCCTCTGAGAGTAAGAAAGGCCTAGAGGAGCCTGGAGTGCGGAGGGAGGGAAGGGTAGGCTTTCAGAATGCACAGGCATGCTGTGTGTGTGTCTGCGACATCTGCATGTGGCCACACCTCCCCTAGTGAGGTTAAGGACAAAGTCCTCCGAAAGCAGGGGCTGTGTCATCTTGCTTCATTAATCGGGCCTCCTCATCTGTGTGTCTCCTTTATGACTCACACCCCGGAGGACAGGGCACATCTGCTTCTTTAGTCGACCCTTGTGTGTGACACTAATGCTATTACTGTTTGGCTGTTTCACCCCAAACCCTTGGAATTCCTATTTTTCCCTCCTGGGCCATCCCCACTTCACTCAGGGGCAGGCCTGGGCTGTGTCTACCATCTTGCCTCACCTCACCAGCTGCTCTGTGACTGGTTAAATGCATGACATAGGAACTAGCTGCTCTCTAGTCCAGCCATTTCCACATATGTTTTAAAGCTAAGGAGGAGGATCCTCCCTCACTCACCCTTTGTGTAGGGATGAAAATCAGGCAGAGCGGTGATGGCTTTCACAGAAACAAGCCAACTGAGATGTATTGGTGTCCGTGTAAGCAGTGTGCTAAGCAAGGCTGGCCAGAAGCATGTTGGCTTTGGAGCTCTGAAGAAGGAAGAACTAGCTGCTTTCCTGACATTCTCATCCCCTTTCCCTGGGAGTTGTAGCTTGCCAGGACCCAGCTTACCCTCCCAGCAGGGCTAGTGTCCCAAGCTGGCCTCATGTGGCTCCCTGGTTCTGCCATCACTGCAAGCAAGATACTTCAGCATTGTGCCTGTGGCACTTCAGGCTAAGGGCTTCAAAACCTTTCCACTCTTTCTACTCTAATTCGGCCCTTCTCACAGATGGGAGGAACACTGTCTCAGAACCTAAGTAAATAGGTGCATTAGTGACACACTTGTCAATTTGTCATCACTGTTAACCATTCTGCCCTGCTTTTTTTTTATAAGTTGGAGTACCAGTTAAGTACATTGGTACATGAGCAATACAAGGGAACGAAGGGGACCAAATAATCTAGAAACAGTACGTTTTGATGCATTTGAGACTTGTATGCATGTATGCTTGCTCAGTTTGGACCGTAGTATGAGCTCAGATCTCTGAATTTGCTTCAGTGAATTTCTTAGTGGCCTTGAGTGCTTCTGCAACCTATTGTCTACGGGAAGCAGTGTCCTTGGAGTATGGAGGGCTGGAGATATTTCTCCAGACTATTAAAAACTGAGTTCGCTGGCCACCATAATGGAGATTTAACAGTGTCAGTTCTTAAGCCGTGGCTTCCATTTGTGATACAATTAAGGGCAATTACCCTGGCTGGTGAGTTTAGCCCAGGTGAGCTGAGTTAATAAGTAGCCACTTGCCTCTACATTAGCTGGGTGTCTTCATTAAGGCAGTAATGTGTTGAGCATGCTAAGCAGGTTGCCATGGTTATCCGTGGGTTCCAACCCGGGCCCTGGCTTTCCTTTAAATTAACGATGCTCTGCCTTCAGGAAAAGGCACTTCCTCCTGAAGCAAAACATTCAGAACATTAAGTGAACCTGCCGGGACTTAGGAACTCAATTACAGAGGCTGATGAGTGCCTGGATGTTGTGCAGTGATACTGACTGGTGGGTGGGTTTCCCCCCCCCTTTCTCTTCAAGTTGTTCAGTCTGTCTGTATCTCACTGCCCATGGATCCACCCACTCTCCCCTCCAGGACTGTTCCACACAGCGAAGTTGCTGCTGCCCTCCAGAGCTCCCTACCCTCACACGGGGCCAACACTCTCTCGGGGTGAGGCTCATTCAACTCCAGGCCCCCAGAGCTGAGCACACATCAGATGTTCAAGAATGATTGCTTAAAGGAGTGCAACAATGCCCCTTCTCCCTGAGCCAAACCAACAGCTGTCAGACATTTTGAATAATGATTCTGTCACCCCCAGTAGCGGTTCCCTCAGATGCTGAGGGAACCCTGGGCATGAGTAACCAGCCATGACATGGCCAATGTGCAAGACCATGTGTCTGGCCGAAGTGTCCCGAGGCCAGTGACGTTTAAATATCGAAGAAGTTCTGGGAAATAACATTGTTTGTGAAATAATGGCCAGTAAGTGATAAAAAGTATATCTGTAGCTCCAGGTACTCCAGTTTCACTGGGGTGACAAAGTTAAGTTTATGAAATAAGCTGAGAAAAATACCTAAAGTACAAGGCATTGTTGTACTTATGTTTCATAAGACTATTGAGGGTCAGCATGACGGCCTCGTGGCTAGACGTGCTTGCTGAGCCTCCGTACGTGGAGGGAGAGCAGACAGAACCAACACGACAGACCTGCCCTTTGGTTTCTGCACGCGCCCCCATTCACATGAGGCACATACTCAAGTGAAAATTAACATGTTAAAAAAATACCTTAATTAGCGAAGAAATATTGGACCAAATGTTAAAAGAAACCAGTATCAGCCAGTCAAAACTGCTGATGCCTTTTTTCTCTCTCTTATTTTAATTACCCCGATGATAATTCTGAACCTGGTACTTTTTGTCTTTCCACGTATTTTCTCAAAGATAATCATCAGAGATGTCTTTCTGCTAACTTAGGAAAGGGCTTTGTGAGGTCATGTATAAATAAAGATCAGCATTTAAAGAATCCCCTCAACTTCTGTTATTTGGAAAATCTGAGTAAATAGGCGTCTTCTTCTCAAGTGCCCACTGAAGAGTAACTCCACTGCCAAATACATCCCGAAGGTGAGTTACCACTAACCACAGTGAAACACTTGAAAATTCTGTTTATTAGTAAATAAAAATACGAACAACTAATGTTTGTGAAACTTCATTCTGCTCTTTGCATGTGCTTCTCTGTGTGTTTTCTTGAACATTAAACATCCATCACATAGCAATGGGTTGTTTCGGGCGATAGGAAGATTTATCAGGTCAGCCCTGATCTTTCCATGAGTTTGCATCACAATTTATCATCGAGAGAAACTCGGTGGCTAATGGATTCTGCTCCTTTCTCTGTCTAGGTTTATTTCAATCTACAGAGGACCCAGCCACACCTACAAGGTCCAGAGACTAACGGAGTTCACCTGCTACTCCTTCAGAATCCAGGCAGCGAGCGAGGCAGGGGAGGGGCCTTTCTCAGAAACCTACACCTTCAGCACAACCAAAAGTGTCCCTCCCACCCTCAAAGGTGTGTAGCAGCCCCCAACGCACTGTCCTGGGACGGTAAAGAGGCATTGAGTCTACATGTGGGAAACTCAGTTTGGGCCATAAATGCATTCTTCATATTTCTCATAGTAAGATGAATTCAAAATTTCTCAAAAAAAAAAAAAAAGAAAGCTGGGTGGCGGGTTATCTGGAAGAAATACCTACATATACAGACTGTTGAAAATACATGCGTGTATTGCAAATAGTGTAGTAAATGAAATAGCCCCATCCCCAAATATAATAGACAAAAGAACTGATATGAGTGGCAACCTTTGGGTTAGGAATGAGACTTGGTTCAAAATAGAGGGCTAAAAATGGTTTTCACACCTCCTTTCCTGAAGACATTCAGAAGCTGGAATTCATCTCTGGGTAGCCTTGATGCCTGGAAACTAGAGTTGATTCAGGCAACATCAGCATTTCCTTGTAGGCACGCACCCTGGCCATCGAGGGTGCTGTCGGAAACCCAAGGCAGCAACCAACAGTGTGACTCCTGGAGTTTTCAGGGCTTCCTGCTTTATACCCTTGGAGGAATCAGGTCCTACAGAAGTCACCCCACAACAAATATGCAAATCCCCATCTTTCTCAAGGATGTGGACAGAGCCACTGTAGCTGGGCCCTCTCTCCAAGCCCGCCAGGCACAGAGTTGAGTGAGTGGCGGGCCTGGGTAGGGCTGATAGTGACAGGAGCTGAAGTTTGCATTTGGACTCCTTCCTGAGTCTTGTCTCTTCACCCAAAAATCACGTTCTTACACAGGTCCCTGGACTCCTCCTTAGACAAAGCAGCATTATCCCATCCAGCCATTGCCCAAAGTGGCCCTGATGGTGAAGTGTATGTTTGTGTATATGTGTTTGTGAGGGGAAGGTTTACTATGGAGAAGGTCCTCTGTGTTTGCCCCTAGGGAAGCTTCCATATGAAGTTGTTGAGGTTTCCTACATCCAGAGCACAGATATAGGAAGTAAGGGGTCACCAGAACCTGGATCACTGTCTAGCTTGGGATCTTCCAGGTTTGGTGTAGCTGCTTCCACGGCTACTTCACGGCATATGCCCTCATGAGGCTCCCCTGCCCCACTTAGCCACTGCTCCGTGTGGCATGTGTCCTTTACATATGCAGTGCTGGGCCATTTTAGCGGTGAATGCCCAGCCCGTGGGTGCACCTCTATCTCTGGGCCTAGAAAAGACGGAAGCTGATTCTGCTGTGGCTTATTGGGGGGAGGGGTGTCTAGCCTTGAGTCTCACATTGGGAGCTAACTTTGCCTCTCGGAGTGATCCTTAGCAAGATTCACTCCACAGAAGCTAGAGTAGCACAGGGATTTCACGGTGCTTTGGCCTCCAAGGGGCAGGATTCTCGAATATCACGTGACCAGGCTCTTCCTCTGCCTCCTATATTCAGGCAATTGCTGCCTCTGCTGAAGATCCTCTTAGTCCAGTGAGATTCCTTATTTAGTTTTCCATAAACTGCTTGTAATTTTAGCGAGGCAATTCCAATATAGGTTCTTTCTCTTTTTAAAGTTTTTTGTTTTTCTGAAATAATGTCATATCTTACAGAGTGGCAAATAGAAATGACTGCCTTTAAATAAGCTGGTGATTAGGAATGAAAGTAGAAGTGGATCTGGAGAGTGGAAACGGACATTCTCAAACTATGTAGCATTTGAAGGGCCAGGGGCGGGTGCAGCTCACAAGCAGAATGTTTGCCCTAGCAAAGGTTTGATCTCCAGCACATGACCACAAACAGGGTGGTGGTGGTCTGATTTTAAGTACCTTACTACAGACTAATATAATTTAGATTTAAATATGACTAGATCCAATAGTTGAGTGAACTAAGATGTAAATGTGGGCCTGTGCCCCCTGTGTGAATCGGTCACATGCCCACTTTCTGTCTGTGCCAACCCCATACTTTATTCTTATCTTCTTATACCTAAGTCTTAGAGTACTTAGAAGCCAGGCATGATGGTGCATACCTGTAATCCCAGCACTCAAGGAGGCAGAGGCAGGTGGATGACTCTGAGTTTGAGGCCAGCCTGGTCTACGAGTGAGTCCAGGACAGCCAAGGCTACACAGAGAAACCCTGTCTTGAAAAAACACCCAGCAAAACAAACAAAAATAGAGTCCTTAGAAGCAGTCTTGATCTTATTTCCATGCCCTTAAAGTACCTAGCACATGGAAAGTGCCCTAAACCTTGTAGAAGGTGATCAACAGCCATAAAAGATAGATATCTATGGATGGATGGATGGATGGATGGATGGATGGATGGATGGATGGATGGATGGGCAAGCAAGCTGGGCTTTCTGTCCTGGGGTAACTTCCTTTTCTTGAGGTTTACTGAGCAGGGTTAGCAGGAAGCTGGACAAATCAAGTTCCATCTCTGGACGTCAGTGCCATCTCACTCTCTCTAGTTCTCACTAGCAGTATTAGAATATGGACCACTGATATGAGACTTTGAATTCTGAGCTTGGGTATGTTATTTTGTATTGCAGCACCTCGAGTGACGCAGTTAGAAGGAAATTCATGTGAAATCTTCTGGGACACGGTACCACCAATGAAAGGTGACCCTGTTAACTACATTCTGCAGGTCTTGGTTGGAAGAGAATCTGAGTACAAACAGGTAAGGACCAGTGTCTACACATGTCAGCTATCTAGCATCAGGCTGGCTCCTTGCCTTGAGCGTAGCCATGAGTGATGCAGTGAGCTACATATTTGTTATGACAGTGGTTGAAACAGCCTGACACCAGCTGTATCGTTTACATTTCATTTCTTATCTGCTGGTATTTTTCCTGGCTTTTCAAGTCCCAAGCATGAACTTGTGAAGAGTTTCAAGTGGTGTATTTATGTCTAGTGGTATATAATCTGCACGTATCTCTCTTGGTGTGACTGAAAACTGAAGTGACCCCAGAGGAAGGTATCTTAACCCAGCAACCAAGTTCCGTGTCCTCTCTGCCTTTGTTACAGAAGTGACAGTGGGCGGATAAGGAGATGGCCAGCAGACCCTTAAGGCCTGTGGCTCAGAAACTCTAGGAACCTGTTAGAATACAGATTCTGATTTGAGGTAGAGACTCAGGCCATCCATTTGTCAAAATAGCTCAGAATTAAACCTATTCCAGAGAAGGTACAAGCCTCATATAGTCAGATAATGAATTTGCTTTTAACCATTTCACACCTCTTGGTCCTTAATTTCTTCTGGAGTAACACCATTTCTGGTCATTTGACTATAATGGGTTCAGAGACTGTAGGGTTTCTGTGACGTCCCCTGGAACATATCAACTCCTTGATGAAATCAGGTCATAAGACTGTTTATTCGATTCATTCTTCACTTGGCACGCTTCATAGTCCATTTTCATTGAACTCAAAAGGGTGAGCTGTCCTGGGAAATGTTGGCATTGTTTGTAAAAGCCTCTGGTTTTAGCCCTTGAGTCTTCAAATACACAGAAGAAAATGTGACTCAGAGTTTTACTCAAATTTCTCCCTGGTGTTTTTTGTGCAATAATTTTAAAAGTACTTATAAACAAAGTGTGCCTAAAATATTCCAAGAAGTTCTTGGACATTTTGATATATTTTGTTAATATGGGCATCAGATAATGACTGAATTGTTTTAACCACATCTTGCAAAAACTTCATCTTCAGTCTGACATCTGTCGGCATTGGTTGCCATGAGCAGATGATATCACCAAAGCCTTCACCATGCCGCTCACAAGAACACAACCACAGTGCTTCCCTCTCATGTTCCTGTCTTGTTCTAATCCTGTTGCCTCTGAGGAGTTTCTCATTTCATGTGTGCCATTACACACCTCATCAAAAGAGTTCTCCCTGCTGGATTTAGCTAGACACCTCATCCCATTCCACACAGTGCCAAGGGTGCCAGGAAATGGCTTGTTTTCTCATCTGATACTCCACAGGACAGTCATATGTTCATTGCCGTGTTTTTAAAACTTTTTGTTCCATGGACCATGCTTTTCCACCTGTTCTTGGAAAAAAAAATGTTCTGCTTCTCAAAATGGTTAGTGCTGCTTCTCAGGGAAAGGGGCTGTACCGTGTGTGCAGTTTCTGCACGTGTCCACCGTCGTCACATGAAGACTAATCTACACAGTATTTTACATTTCATCCGGTTAGCTTTTTAAAGCCACTGTTCAGTGCTACGTGGGTAGCCCTGCGGATATACAAGTACTAAGTTCTGATATGATGTACAGTCATATATTTGCTATAGAACATTTTTCTTACCATAACTGGCTATAGACAATTGTTATCAAGAGCAGAGCAATGTAGGGCAGGCTTCATAAACAGAGATGTCCACATATTTCCTACATTTACCAAGAAATGCGGTAGTAACAGGAGAAGCCATGGTTGACACAGCTCGTGAGGGACAATTTGTACTGGGTTTGGGGTATTTTGTTGTTTTTCTTTCTCCCCCCCTTCCTTTCTCTCTTCAGTAAGCATTAACTTGAATGTGATGTTTTGAGCACTGCCTTCCTTGTCCCGACATGAGATAGAAAATAAAGGCTATTTGTATAATGTGTGGGGATAATAGACAACAGGCTTTGGATTTGTAGTGGCAAAGCCAAAGCAGATGGGAGGTAATTACCACTGCTGAGTGGCGGCAGGGGAGTCAGGGCCCTCGTGTGCGCTGCATATTCCTCCATTACAGCGCCAATCACAGGACCCACTGATGGTGGGGCTTGGGTGATTCAGTTTTAGTTTTCTGAGACTGGCACATAGTTTGGCACTCAGTCAGTGCTTCTTACAGTGTGCGTGGAGGAGGCAGTTTCCAGGTGGCTCGGTAATTTACACAGGTGGCGGTGTGTTTCCTTCATGGTGGAAAGACCAGTGATGTTGATTCTACCAGACAGGCAGGTCCCATGCCTTTCCTCAAGCGCTGACTTAAGTTTGCTTTGTTCGAGCTTTTCTGTGGTTCAGCTTTCTCTCGTTATCATAATGACGGGGAAGCCTGTTTTAGTAGTTGCATAAGCATCTATTAGCTAAGTACCAATTTCTCATTACCTCTTCCTTTTACATTCAAATGCATGTATATATCTGTCTGTTCTGCCACGTAATGAACAGTCCAGGCTCAAACTGTTTTTCAATAGTCTTCAGTTTTTTCAAATGGCATTACTACAAAACATTCCTGAAAGGTGAAAACGTCTCTACATACATGCAACTCATTTTCGTTTTTGCACAGCACAAAAAAAAATAATGAAGCAGAATTATACAGATCTCTGTTTAGATATCAATAACCTTTACCAAAAAGTATTGAATATAAACATCGAAGACAAGAGGATAGAGTTGACAAATCTCAAGAAAACGTTTTCTGTTGCTAATGATTGCTCAGACTGGTTGCATTTAGGAAACCGTCAACACATCAGGAATTCTGTGGGGCTCACCTTTAAATAGTCGGCATTTCCTTATAAATGTATGTTTACCTTATGTCATCTTCAGAACGCAGAACTGGGATAAATATTGATCCTTCATGTGGCCACAAAGGGCATTCTGAGGAAGGGTCTTCTGTTGGCTCCGCCATTTTAAAGTTATGTTTAGAGCAGAACCTGGAGCCAGCATATGTCTCAATAACTGTAAACATATACCTGCGAAGCTGCTTTAATCACCTGCCATGTTTCAAATCCACAACAAAACCAAAACAGATCGAAATAGAAATCGTTCAGGGCTGTCATTTATTCTACTAATTTTTAAGCATATAGTTCTTTTTTAGTGTCGCATGAAGAAAAATTCTTACGTAAGCATCTGCTTAAGATGTCACATGATCTGACTTTGTGTTGGCGCTCTTGACGTGCAGACCTAGGACCCTGAGCTCTTAGCTGTTGTGCGTTTGGAGGCATTCCATCAGTCTGCACTGCCTGTGGGCCCACTGAGTGGAAACGCCCTTGCTGGGCCTCGCCCACTCAGTAGTCCCCAGCACTGCTGGGTCCACAGGAAAGGCCGACAGGGTAGCACGTTCCCATCTGAGCCCCAGGATGTCCGAGGACACATCTGCTTCCCGTGGTCCTAGGACTGGGGAGAATGAATTCCTATTGCCAATCCTCAGTTACAATAACCCGGCAGCTTGGATTGTTACCGAATGCCTCACATCCATCCAGTCACGAGAGGGAAGTGTGTGGCCGTCCCGGGAAGGAGGGGCGCCCTGGACGAACCTACAGCCACCCAGGTCGCACCGAGCTCCGTGCTCCTCCCCTGGAAGACTGTTAGATTCTTCACTTATCTGAGTATTGCTTTCTGCCCTCCTGCTTAGAGTAAACATTTCAAAATGAGTTTAAAATACTGCACCAAGTCAAGAACAAAAATAACCTCTGTAAAAAGAAATAAATAATTTCACATGTATACTTTTACAATATTACGATTGATGGCTTCAATAAGAAAAATCTTAAATGGAGCACCACCTCTCTTAAATTGGGTTGAGGCAGGAAAAGAGGCCCATAATCGGGTCCCTGTCAGAATAAGTGAGAACGAAGGGATATGAGGCATGATCAGCCAGTGCCACCTGTCTGGAGTCTCAGCGCCCCTTGGGAAATCACCCTGCACAGGCACAGCCTGAGGCCCCGGTGACTGTCTCATAAGAACTGCTGGCATTGGTGCCCACAGACGTGCTGTGAAGACCAAAGCAGCGTCTTCAGCTAATGGCTACAAGTGCCATGTGCCAGATCTCCTAAAGTTCCCTTTGGCAAGTGACTGTCCTTCAGGGAGATCAGGGGAGATACAAGGTCGCTCAGGAAGGGGTCGGCTAATGTTTCTTTTTAAAAATCTCCGTTAGTCAGACCTCACCTGCCTTGGTTTAGTTGCAGCTACCTACTTCCCACCCCATCTGTATTAGTTAAGCCTATTGCAAACCATACATTTTCATAAAATGGTTTTTATTTTTTTAATTTTTCCCCAAGATAAATTTAACAGTTTCCGCTTCTTCAGTGTCTATCAAAATACAAAAGAAAAAAAGTAGAGGTCATCTTTCGATGGCAGATCGGACCCTTGCAGGCTGAGGGGGGAAGCTACTTCACACATGGAGATGGGGTGCTCCAGGGTGTGGGTCCGTACGTGGACGGACCCTCCTAGCTTGCACACACTCCTGCTGGTGAGGCCCAGGCCTTCTGCCAGCATGGCCAAGTGGGCCCAAGAGTAAGCTAGGTATGCAGGCTGCCATCTGGCCCAGCCACACACCAAGCACAAGTGGGCCCCCGCATCCCACAGTGCTTCCCAGCCCACCCCTAGAAGACCATGTAAGCACAATGCTGTGGAATGCAGGTGACCCAAAGACAGGCAAGTCACGGGGCCTCTGCTGTGACCAGGCAGCGGATGGTGGTTTGTTCATCACCTTCTTTCTCTTCCCACAGGGAAACAGGTGGTCTGACGGACCAGCATTCAGACCATAACCACAAAACCTACGCTAGGCATAGTCTCCGTTCTGTGTGTTCAAGTGTTCTTGTCCTTTACTTTTTAAGTATTTTTTTTAAAAAAATGCACAGAGTTTGGGTTTAAAACCAACCATCAAATGGATACTAACACCAGTCTACAGCCCAATGGGTCCCGGAAGCCAGGTGCCCCTAAACCCAAATCCCTTCTCAGTACTGACAGTGAGTTGATTCTCTTTTTAAAATAAAAAAGCTAAGTAATATGCATGGGAGCACCAGAAACTGCCTCAGTGGAAACAGAAACTGTTTGCATTAAATTAAAACCCGGCTGCAGGCTTCGGCTGCACATGTACAGCACGGTGCAGAGCGCACTGTGACCAACCCACAGAGATAGCCTCTGGCACTCCGGCCCACAGAGTCGAAGGTTTGCCACAGGAGAGGAAAGCGGAGGGCGGAGAGGAGGAAGTGAGGGGGATGGAGGAGTCTGGTTCACTTCTGGTTCCGGAGCTATTGGACAGCCAGTCTGGTCCTTCATGGAGCCCCTCCCCCGCTGGTGGCACAGGTGGCCTGAACGCACCAGTTCCTGTGGCGTAGAGAGTGCAGCCCCAGCTTGTCTGTGCGCTCAGCCGCATTCATGGCATTGGGGAGGCCCTCCTTGTTGGCAAGCACCACAAGAACAGCGTCCTGGAGCTCATCTTCAGCTCACATCCTTATGAGCTCTTCACAGGCCTCGTTCACACACTCTCTGCCATTGCTGTCCACTACAAGGTCAAGCCTTGGGTATTCTAGAAGTAATGGTGCCATAGCAGCCAGATCTTGTCCTGGCTGCCCACATCCCACACAGTGAAGCTGACATGCTTGTTTTCAACAGTCTCCACATTGAAACCAATGCTGGGGATGGTGGTCACAATTTCGCCCAGCTTCAGTTTGTATAGAATTGTCTTCCCTACAGCATCCAGGCCCACTGTGAGAATGCATATTTATTTTTTTTGCCAAAAAGACCCTTGAAGAGGTTTGCAAAGATATTCCCCATGCTTGTGGAGAGGTGGGCATGATACTGACCAGAGACCTCCACCAGAGACCTCCATGGTGGCTGCTCCCAGCCAGGTGTTGGTTTTGTTCCCACCTAATTTCAATGTGTTATTACATGACATTTTCTAAGAGTCGATACCACAACAATAGATCCCTGCACAGCCTCCTTCCTCAGCAACCTTCAGTCTCCTGTTCCTGGTAATTCTTAGCATGCTCATTTCTAAGCAAACTGATCATTTCAAATCCCTGTAATAGGTATCTTAGTTTTTTGTTTTGTTTTGTTTCTGTTTGTTTGTTTGTTTGTTTGTTTGTTTTTGCTGAGATGAAACAGCATCACCAAAAAGCAAGTTGGGGAGGAAATTATTTACTTGACTTACACTTCCATATTTCTGTTCATCATCAAAGGAAGTCAGGACAGAAACCCAAACAGGGCAGGAACCTGGAAGCAGGAGCTGATACAAAGGCCTTGGAGGGGTGCTCCTTACTTGCTTGCTCAACCTGCTTTCTTATTGAACCTAGTACCACTACCCCAGGGATGGTGCCTCCCACAATGGGCTGGGCCCTCCCTAATCAATCACTAATTACGTAAAAGCCCTTCATTTGGATCTTATGGAGACATCTTCTCAATTGAGGTTCCTTCCTTTCAGATCACTCTAGTCTGTGTCAAGTTGACATAAGACTAGCCAGCCGTTTAAAACTCTTCATGATTCTGTTCAGGTCTATGAGGTGGGGCATAGCTCAGATTCTCCTTAATGGGAGAAAGAGTACTCCTAGAGCACTAAGAGTGAGCCACTAAATCAGGATATTTTCAGGTTGGGCAAAACATGAAACCACTGAGACTATATTCTCATAACAGATCTATCTACCAGAGGACTTAGCTCCAGAATCTACAGAGAGAGAGTCTACAAATCAGAGCAAAAGGCATGTGTCTCTCTGCACAAAAGAGGTTACAGAAATGCCATGCACACACATGGAAGCTATAGAATGCCACTGGCAAGAGCTGGCACTGATGCCACTGCAGTAACTAAGACAGTACGGGGTGTGCAGTAACAAGTGAAGATAGGAACAGCGCAGCAGACGCTGGCACCTGGCTCTGCTGTAAGGACATGGCTTTAGTCTTTCGCATGGGCTGTCCAGCTGCCCCGAGACCCAGCCTTTCTGTTTCTCAGTGTCGGCTCTAAAAAATGAAAACTTAAGTCCTCAGAGGTCTGCACAAAAACGTCTATGAAAAAAAATTAATGCAATGTGTACAATGCATAGTCTAGAGCAAACAATGAAAGAATGATCTGTGTGTGTGTGTGTGTGTGTGTGTGTGTGTGTGTGTGTGTGTGTGTACACAACTTGCAGAGCAAATTGCAGAACCGGAAGCCAAAGCAATGCTTACAGCAGGTAGGGTGGGTCATGGTGATTAGGGCCCTCTTACATGTGTGTGTTGAACCAGTGGTTCAGGGGGCTGAGGTCAGCCAAGAGTGGGGTGCAACACAAAGTTTAAAATGTTCTTACTACATTATTAGAGTTAGGGGACTCAGTTTTTATGGCTCTGTTGGTCTCCTGGTGGAGCTCCTGTCTCCTCTAGGTCTTTCTGTCTCCCCCTTCTTTCATAAGATTCCCTGAACTCTGCCCCAAGTTTGGCTATGAGTCTCAGCCTCTGCATCGATGCCTTGATCAGTAGAGTCTTTCAGAAGCCCTCTGTGGTAGGCTCCTGTCCTGTTCCCTGTCTTCTCCTACTTTCAATGTCTATTGTGTTTGTCCTTCTGAATGAGGACCTAAAACCTAGCTCTGTTGTAGCCCAGAGACTCAGTCTCCAAGTGGGGTCCCTAGTAAAGGGATCGGGAATGTTCTCTGGCATGAACTCAGTGCCTGGCTCTCTGATCACCTCCCCCTGTGTACAGCCTTGCCAATCCAAAGAGGAAGACAATGCAATCAGTCCTGATGAGACCTGATAGGCCAGGGTCACATAGAAGGGGAGGAGGACCTCCCCTATCAGTGGGCATAGAGGGAGAAGAGGGAGGGAGGATGGGATTGGGAGGAGACGAGGGAAGGATACAGGGAGCCAGGATACAATTTGAATAAATTATAATAATAAGAAAAGAAAAATGTATAAATTTTTTAAGAAGTTAGGGGAGGGTGTTTTTGTTTTGTTTTGTTTTGCTCTTTGTAAGTTGACTACATGGTTCTCAAGTGTGAGCGTCATAGATAACAATACTTCACAGTGACAGAAGATTGGGAGTGTCTGATCGCCAGTTATTAAAGAGAAAAAAAAAAGGTAGTGAGGAACTTTGTGCTTTATGCCAATATTAGTGGCTATTGCTTCCGTTCAAAAACCTTACTTTGTTCTGGAGGAGAAAACACAGACCTGTTTGTACTGAGCCTCTTCTGGCATTGGCCTGCACTGTAGACATTTAGCCACCCCGCATCTAGACTTACTTAACAAATTAGCCAGCTTCACTTCTGGAAAAGGTGAGTCTTTGGCTTTCACATTGCACCTTGTTCCAAGTAAATTCACACAGAGGTTGTTATGGGTTCATTTGAGCCAGTATCCCACAAGGCTCTGGGTGTACGTGTTAGTTTCTGTGGCAGCCACAGTGTTGTGAGTTACTCATCCCTGACTCTGCTTTTCGTTTGAAGGTGTACAAGGGAGAAGAAGCCACCTTCCAAATCTCAGGCCTCCAGAGCAACACGGACTACAGGTTCCGCGTGTGTGCCTGCCGCCGTTGTGTGGACACCTCTCAGGAGCTCAGTGGAGCGTTCAGCCCCTCCGTGGCTTTTGTGCTACAACAGCGTGAGGTCATGCTTACGGGGGACACGGGGAGCATGGACGATGCCAGAATGAAGGGCATGATGCCTACTGATGAACAGTTTGCTGCCCTCATCGTGCTTGGCTTCGCAACCTTGTCCATTTTGTTTGCCTTTATATTGCAGTACTTCCTAATGAAGTAAATCCGGCAGAGCAGAGGTAGGAGGGGAACGCCGCATAGCTGAATACACATTTCCTCACAGCCTCCCCTTCGTGAGTCTCTTTGTTCCTTGACTTATATACTTCTCTTGTTTTACAGATTTGGCACGGGGAACAGTGTTTGGCTGCACCTATTTGAGATGCAAAACTAGGAAGAGGTTAAACTGGATTTTTTTAAACTAATAAATAAAGGAATAAGTAAGAAGAGAAAGGAGCAGCAGGAAAGCACCAGACACCAAGAGCCAGTGTGCCAGTGAGCTTGCGTTTCCAAGCTTCCCAGTATGCTTTTGTTCTGTTTCCACTGATGTCTTTTGCAAGCCTTTGATCTCTTTGTGTGTTACAGTTCAGTAATTTATATTCACAGTCACTTCTTGATCATCTATATCTGTAAACAGAATCACAGTGTATGTAGTTCAGGGCTGGGATTCCGGTGTTGTCAATAGAGTATTGCCACATGAGAACGTACAGAACACGTGTGCCTTCCCAGGAGGCCACCGAGACCATCCTGTCTTCACTCAGCTATGTAACTGCGTTTAGCTCATTTAAGTCAAAGTGTGTGCTTTAACCTAAAATGTTTTACTACTCTGTATCCCTTATGATTTTTAACACTATGAGTTTCCTGTCTAAGAAATCACATAACCAAATGCACCTATAAGTGATGGAGCATTGTAGATTTCCTCGTCGGTCCATAGCAGTAACTTTAAGAGGGCATTGTGCAATAGTTAGTTGTTTCCTTGTTCAGCTACTTTAAAAGCTGCTTTAACTTGCCTGTCTGTCTTTGTCTATAACTACTTCTAATCTAATCACTAGAGTTATTATATTCTGTTCCGTTTGACCAGAGCTATGTGACGAGAACTCATGGCAGTCGAGTGCCTCACGGTTGTGAGCTGTCTTCTTACATGTTGGCCCACCCATTGTTTTTGAAAGATTTGCCTTTTGCTATTCTTTGGGGTATCAGTGACGCAAATGAAGTTCAGTATTGTCATTTCAGTGCCCATAGTACTAATGTAGCAGTAGATGAAAAATCTTGCTGATAAGGCCTACAAGGGAACCATCTACATCTGCCCTTCTGTTTCTGGGGACTTGATCTGGCCACATAGAGAGAGGGAGTGGTAACTGGCTGTACACACAGGGTGTTTGGGGGGCCAAAGAACCTACTAAATTCTCCCCCTGGATCTGTCACCAATTTGCTTTGTAACCTCTCTGTGCCTGTTTTCCCCTGCATGAGAAGTCACATCCAATGGGGATTCAGTACCTGTAAGTGCTTTGAGATCTTGCATCCACCGGTGCTATCGGAGTGCAGAGTGTTCCTCTCCCAGGTTCACTTAGAGTCATGAGATAATCAGTTCTAACCCAAAGTCATTGGATCACTCAGTGAAGTCCACAACGTTCAAGTACCTCAGGGACACTAAGAGCTGGAGGTGCAACTGTATTCCAAAAGGGTGCAGCAGACACAGCCGATCCCCCTGGTCCTGGTTTTTCTGTATATTTTTGCTCCTTGGTTTTTCTTGATCATAGCTGTTTTGTGCTTGGTCTATGTTGTCTACGATGCAGTAAGTACCCTGTACTAGCTTATAATATTCCCATACCAAAGTCATGGGGAAACCAACATTATTTTGTTTTGGGTTTATTTATACTATATTCTGCATACAGTACTTTAAATGCCAATTACAGTGCAATCTTTATTTATTGTAAAAAATTTTAAAATGTACTTATGTACTAATTTGCCCTCATAGCATGTTATATTTTGTGTGTTTTATACTTTTGTAATTTTTAGGTCAGTTTTGTTTCTTGGCAACATCTGTAGTATTAGCCTTCTGACATTTTCTTGTGTTTTTAAAGATAAGAGCATCTAACTCATTAAATGCCAAAAAAGAAAAAAAAAATCCATTATCAGTGATTGAAAGGTTTACATGTACCCAGAAAACCATAATCATCTCTTGGAATGCTAAGATCAATGCATTATTGTGTGCCTATATTCATGTAGTTAAGTACTAGAGAGTTCTGTATTTTGTTATTGACTATAATAATTAGTGTAATTAGACTTGTAAACTGATGGTATCAAGGTAAATATATTTTTGCCAAAGCTCTGGCCTTCAGAAACTCATCTTTTCATCCAAGTGTGTCGTTTGACCCACTGTGACGTCACATCTTCATTCCCTGAGACACTTGTAAGCGGGTGAAGGCAAATTCAGTGGAATAGTGTTTAAAGCTATTTGAGGGGAGAGTCTCTTTTTGTTTTTGTTTTTGAACACTTCAGCACTGCTGCTGCAAAGAATTCTCTGAACTAGTTGAACTGTTTTAAAGGAAATAATACTTCAGGCCCAAATCTCTCTGAACATTTGATCTTCTGGAGATTTCCAAGCTCTGTAACCATCAGACCGCTGAAGTGTGTAACCCACGCGCAGACGGCACTTTATTCTATTGCTCTCTATTATCCGGGATCCATTATAATCTCTTCAGTCAGGAAATTAGTCTCTACATGGCACTACCCTCTCTCACAAGTCTGTATATGTGCTATGAATATATAACTCTATATATATTGCCATTACAAAGGAACAATAAAATAAAGTGTTCTATTAACATCCTCTCTGCCCTTTGCCATATGTAGGAATGAGTGAGTGGCTTTCTGATGCTCTGATGCTTCTCTGTATGTCAAACGCATCCCCGACACAAGAAATTCTAGTCATCTGAAGCAAACTGCCCTTTGTCCTCAAAGAAAATGTTTAAAAGGAAAACTTTTTAACAGAATATTTTGCATATTATCTGCCTTGTTATTATCAAACTTGAGATGTTGACATTTTCTAACCCTGTTTCTTTGGCTACAGTCATTCAGTATTTGTGTCCAAATTGAAAAGTGCCCTAATAGAATGTGTTTGAATGTTATCCTTGCACAATTCTTTAAATTGAAATACAAAATGTTTTACCTCACTGTTGGACATACATTCCAAGCTTTTCAACTTTAGGAGAAAAAAAAATAATCATATGTTTTCCTGTCTTGTAAATTTTAGATTATTTCATATACATTGTATTAAAACTGCCATATCAATTTTAATGTATAGATTTTGCAAATACTATGCTATATGTAATACCTAACTGTATCTGTAGTGTATATGTAATATATTTATGCCCAATAAATGTTTTAATTCTTTCTGACTTAAGGAGGATTCTTCAGCCTTGAATAAGGTTACTCTTATTGTTGCTCCTTTTAAATGCTTAACATCCCGAAAGGTTCCAGCTTAAGCATCTTGAGAGGCGAAGCAGGTGAGACCGAGCAGGGAATGTGGTACTTCCTGTCACTTGCCTCGTGCCAGTTGCTGTCATGTAGGCCCACCCCGCTCAAGCTCGTCACTGCTGTTCTTACGTAACTAAAATTGCAGGTAATTCTCCAGTTAGTCTCTGTGTGTGGTGCAGTTACTATTTTATCTGCTGCCAGAAGCCGGGAGTGCAGGCCTCCCTCTGTCTCCCATGACTGAGCGTTTTCTGTCCCATGATGAACTTGTACAGTTTCGAACTCCTTCCCACTCTGGGTCTCACTTAGCAGCAGCAGCATGAAACTAGCATTCTCCATTGTAGGGCTGAAGAGCAGAAGATACTATGGTGGAACCATGGTTAAGCTGTTGATGAGCAGCACCTGTTGTTCCTACTGACATCATGGATGGGGGGCGATCACTATGGTTGTTTCCCTAAGGAATCCAGCCTCCCCCTCCCCAGGTAGGGAGACTGTGTACAAGTACAAAAGCTATTTGTAACTCAAACCTGACCTCCTTAGGCGCTGTGACTGAAAAATGACAAGCATCAAATTTTATGTGGACTTGACCCAGCTGAAAATACAGTAAATGGTGTTTTGTTTTGTTTTGTTTTGTTTTGTTTTGTTTTGTTTTAGTCCTAAGAACAGGGAGTGTAGAGGAAAAGGTTTTTGACACTAGAACTTTGGAAACCTGACCAGGGAATTCAGAATCTTCCTTTGTCAAGAGGGAAAATGAGCACCAATGGAAAATCAGTGCAGAATTCTCAATGCAGAATGTTCTTCAGGCTGAAAACCTGATGGCTGTATGTCCCCTGGAGGTGAGAGTGAAGAACAGAATGTATTAGAAGCTGCTCCATCTCTGTCACCATCCCTGTACACTGCCCCTTCTTCACCCTTCCCAGCAAAGCCCAGAAGAGTATCCCTATAAGGCGGCTGAACTTGAAAGTCCCTGACTTGGGAGTCATGGTCCGGTGTTGAGGGCAGGCACGCCATTCGAAATGAAGTCTGATGAGCAGAGCCATACAGGAGGATGACAGCATCTCTGGGAGATCTAAGCTCTCCAATCCAGTGGCACAGTCCTCCCCTATCAGTGGACTTGGAGAGGGGCATGAGAGGAGATGAGGGAGGGAGGTGGGATTGAGGGAGGGGGCTACAGCTGGGATAAAAATAAACTGTAATTAATACAAAAAAATTAAAACAACAAAAAAAGAAATTTTACAATAAGTAGTTAAAAAAAAAATCTTAACTGCACTATGCCGTTGCCCGGGAAGTCTTTCAAAGTCTCTGTACTCCCAGATAAAAGGAGCAGATGCTACTGGAGCTCCCGTGGTTTCACAAGATCTGCAGGTGATTACCAGAGTGACTAAGACTGGAAGGCTTTCTCTTTTCAGCTGCCAGTTATATCTGCTTTATTCGTTCTCTGTGTAACCTAGTAGAAGCTCCTAGCATGAACAGACCCAAAAAGAGCAACTCAAAGAACCTGCTAGGAAGAAGACTGAGAAATTAAATTACTATTACCAGAGAAAGGAGAAAAATTAAGATGTAAGATGAACACCAGCAAAAATAAGCTGAAAAACAACAAGAAAAAAAAATGTTCTTGGAAATTAAAATTTCAATAAGGGGGAAAGAAAGTTGAAGGTAAAAACCTTGAAAAAAAATAAATAGAAATAAAAGCAAGAATCAGACCAAGACATTCCAGGTGTACATTTCAGAAGCTCCAGAAAGAGGAAGGGGCAGGGAATGTACTCGTTACAAGTTTCCAGAATGAGTCATGAGGCCTTCATCTCAATGGAGGCAGGGGAAGACTTCCATCAGACTGTGGCATCCAGAAATTTCAAAACTCCAGAGCCAGAAATAACTCTAACAAAGCAGAAAATATGGCCACATGGAGGGATTAGGACCCGGCTGGCTTTAGCCTTCTCCAGAAGGGTTACCTCACTCAGGATCTTTTCTAGTTGCATCCGTTTGCCTGAAAATTTCATGATTCTTGACAAAAGCAATTTATGGAAGGAAGGGTAAAGGTTTTACTTAAGCTCACGTAGTGAACAAGAGAAATCGCCTCCTATCAGGGAAGGCATGGTGGCTGGTGACGTTGGCTCTGCAGTCAGGAAGCAGAGAGAGGATGAGTGCAGGTGCTCAGTTCCTTCATCTTTTTCCAGCCAGGGGCTCCCACTCATGGCACAGTGCTGTGCACATTTAGGTTAAGAAGCCCCCTCACAAACGTACCCAGAGTTTTGCCTTCAAAGGGATTCCAAAAAGGAATAGATTTTTTTTTTTTTTGCATATCTCCCCGGGAAAGCCATGCTATATTAATAAGCAAATGATTTTTTAAATATGGTCACCTCCACAGGCACAGATGTATTTGACAAATTTTCAAATATTTCATGATAAAAATATTTGTCAAGCTACAAGACATTTATTCTTAATCTGATAAAGAACATTTCAATAATGCTCGCAACAAACATGGTACTAGAGAAAGACTGAAAGCTGCCACCCCCACCCAAGCAAAAGAAAAGTCACAGAGACAGTATTTACTGTTGGAAAAATAATGTCAAGTTGTACAAGGGTTTCAAGCCACTATTGAGAGACAAGAATAATGTTTTTCTGGATAGTAATGAGCCACACAAAAGTACCAAGCTAAGGAAATCCATTTATAGTGGTGTGAAAGAGTAAAATGTTCAAAAACAAGTCTGGCAAAGGAAATGTAAGACTTCTTCACCAAAACAACCAAATATGTGAGAGGATTATAGATGTATGAAATGGAAGTTTTTCTTAAGAAGGTAGAAATCTTATGAACATGATTAAGATCATACTTCCCAAATTGATCCAAGCACAATACACACAAGAATGTCAGGTTCATATGGAAAACTGATAATCTGATTTTAAAATCCTTCTTGATATTCATAACCTCAAAGTACTCAAAAGCATACTGGAAAAAAAAAAACAAACAATGAAGTTGGAAAAGTTCCTAATTTCAAAACTTGCTGCCAAGATACAATAATCGGACAGCCTGGTGCTGTCATAAGAACAAAAACATAGGTGACTGGAATAGAACTGGGAGTCTAGAAATAAACCTCTGTAACTGAGGGGTTTATCAAAATCAACTGCTTTTTGATAAGATTGCCAAGGAGATGAGTGAAGGAAAAAGAACAATCTTGTCTTCAGTGATGTTGGACCAACCAGATATCCACTTGAAAAGAAAAAGAACCTTCTTCCTTACACAAAAGAAATTAATCCAAAGTGGATCAAAGACCTCACTGAATGAGTAAAAGCTCCAAAATATCTAATATTCACAAAGACAAGAACATGAAACTGCATCAGCACCCTTGTTCCTTGTTAATGGGCACATCAAATAGAGCCACCACTTTGGAAAATAGTCAAATCTTCAAAAGGTCAATCATATAATTATTATATCACCCAGCCATTCCACTCCCAGGTGGATCCCCAAAAGAGATCATCTGTAAGTGCAAAAATACATTCACAGCCAAAAACAGGCCTGTGTTCATCCGTTATAACACCCAAATGTCTATTTGGTGAATACACAAAACGGTATATTTTGTTGATGAGTACACCATATGGCAAAGTACTGTTACATGCTACGGAACAGCTGAATCTGGAAAACAGTGTGCTAAGTGAAAGAAGCCAGATAAAAAGCTATGTATTGTGTAATCCCATCTATAGGAAATGTTTAGAAGGGGAAACTCGGGAAGCAAAAAGATTAGAAGTTGCCAGGGACTGGAAAGGTATGTAAATTCAGAGTGGGTGCTAGGTGGGTGCATGATTTCTTTGGGCCTACAAAGTAGAAAATCCTAGTCTATAAAGTAGAAAACATTCTAGAATTAGATAAATGAGGATGGTTGTGGATATACGAAAAAAACACAGAAATGTACGCTTGTGTGGTTCCAAACAGGCAGAGAGTAGGACATAACCAAGAAAAGGAGTAACTCTATCTTGGTAGCTGTGTCTCTTGAGGGTCAGAATGCCCCTTTGTGGTTAAAGAGACAGGGTGCGTTGTTCCTACAGAGGTGAAGGTTTTGAGGTACTTCTCCAGTTGTCCCACATATGCATCTTCAGGTGACCCTAACTTCATTATAAAGTCATTTACACTGTAGCTTCAACCCTGCCCCTTTGTAGACTTTTCTCAAAGATCATGGAAACATCTGAGGGTTTTAGTCTAGCATGGTAAGATTCATGGCAGCAGGAATGTATGATACAGTCCCTTCATCATAATGGACCAGTGAGCAAAGAAAGAATGCCAGCATTCTTTGGCTTTCTCCTTTTCTCTTTCTTTGCCAACTGGGCACCTTCCACCTCTACCCATCCCCAACCCTGAGCCCCACCTTACCCCCACCTACAGGGTGGTGCTTGTCACATTCAAAGTAGGCCTTCCCTTCCTCAGTCAAACCTATCTGAAGATAGCCTCACAGGCCTACCCCATTCAACCCCTGGTTATTCCCTAGGTGAAAGAAGAAAAATAAGTAGCTGAAGAGGAAAAAAGATTGAAGAAAGCATGTGGTTGGTTGGTTGGTCTTGATTCAGCAAGCCAGGAAAGGCCTATGCACACTTGGTAGGCTTTTGAGGCAATTGAAGGTATAGGAAAAGGCTCAGTCAGCGTAGCTGTAGTCCATAGAAAACAGAACAAATGGGAGCTGATGAACAGCTGAAGGACTTAGCCATAGAAACCAATGAGAAAAAAAACAATGACCGCTGGGCAAAGATGTAGAAAGTGATGAGAAATTCCACCCTTGACGGGCCTCTGTTCTTTCAAGGGAGGAAAGGATGAGTTGTTGAGTCATCCCAGAATAGGAAAAGGCTTAAGAATCAGGGAGATAGTAGAGAGCTTTGAAGGAGATAGCAGGGCTTAAGAACACGGAAAGATGCCTTTGAAAGTGCTGAGCAGCCTTTG